TATATATATATACATGTCACTGTGCGTGTATATGCTTACATTCGGATATATAGGTCAGGTTAAGGTGCATGCAATATAACCCATGCATTTAAGCTCGCGTTATGGAGCGATGGACTAAGGTGATGTACTGTGGCTCGTCGCATAATATATAGGATACTAGGCCTTCAAGATGCAGGCCTGTCATACACCCGGCGTGGGCAATTGGTGCCCTTGGAAATGGCTCTTTATTATTTTGGGCAAACGCCAGTGTAATGGTAAATATGTAATGTTCAGCGTCGCCACCTTACGACTGCATTGTGCTAGCGACTCCCCAGCCAGGTCCGGCCGGCGCGGTGCAGGGGCCGCCGTCCCGTGCTGTCGCTCCGCCACCATCACCCGCACGTGCTCACTCGCACCGACGCCGCTGTCTCCTCCCATGGCATGCATTCCATGCCGCGTGGAAGGCTAGCGGGCAGCCTACCCCGCCGGCTATCACGGCCTCCTGCATGCCGCCGCAAACGAGCGTGTGTTGTAGTGAAGGAGTGCTATCAGAAGATTTATTACGGTATCTGACCCCACAGGAGGTAAGCAGCGAGGAAAGCGTGAACACTGAGGCGCCGGAAGTCTTGTGCTCGACTGGCGGTGGCAGAGATGGTGTATGCTCGACGGTGGCGGCAGAGAGGTGTGTGCTCGACGGTGGCAGCAGAGAGGTGTATGCTCGACGGTGGCAGCAGAGAGGTGTATGCTCGACGGTGGCGGCAGAGAGGTGTATGCTCGACGGTGGCGGCAGAGAGGTGTATGCTCGACGGTGGCAGCAGAGAGGTGTATGCTCGACGGTGGCGGCAGAGAGGTGTATGCTCGACGGTGGCGGCAGAGAGGTGTATGCTCGACGGTGGCAGCAGAGAGGTGTATGCTCGACGGTGGCGGCAGAGAGGTGCATGCTTTGGCTGGGGTGTCCAGCAACGCGGAAACTGCGACAAAGATACACCAGGTCGGCGCTTGTAATTTGCCGCTCATCACAAGTCGTGACGTGGCACAAGATGCGTTCTTGAAACCACCGGCCTGTCATGAAATGAGAAATGGGAGTGTCCAATTGGGATGCCCACATGCGAAGGTTAGCATCTATCAACTTAAATGTGCATTTGCTGATAAAATATACAGGAAATAGGCTTCGTGACTCCGAGGCCCAGGCATCCGCCCCCAGCGAGCCTCTGCAGGTGTTTGTTGGTTTGAATGGACATATACCTGGAGACCTGTGGTATCTTAACATTTCGGTGGGGTCGACTTAATGGAATGGCACACTCATACTCATATTGGAGGAAGAGACATCGCGATTTTCTTTTACGGCGTGGTCGAATAATTCATGCAAACGCACGTGCTGGGCTGGAAATGATAGCGCATCTGACAGGGAACGGTCAAGAAGCATTGCTATTCTACAGTTTGAAGCGTGTGAAGGCGCATTGGTGTCTCGTGTGTGTCTTCAGCACCCTGCTTTCTACAGCTGGCGCCCTGAGCTCCGCAGAGGTCAGGGGGATCATTTCCTGGCTGGTGTTCACCTCGCCTCTAATGGCTCATCCAACGACCATTACTACGTCGCGAGTGAGCTGGTGCGGGTGTTGCGTCATCAAGAGACCATTTGTCGGGATAATTTGAGGAAGCATAAGGCCATGCCACCACCCGTTTGCCCCAGGAAGGCGACAGCTCATCTTGGACGGTGATTACATGAAAAGGTCACCGACCTGCAATTTATTTCCGGTACGGACAGTCATGTCGTGGTACAAGGACCACCCAAGGTTCTTTTCCTGGGAGTACCGAAGGTCGTGGCTCGACGTACAGATGTCGTGCATCTTAGGCTTGCATCATCCGGCAGCTAATGACACGCTAACCATGTGCTTATAAGAGGGTCAGCGCCAGGCCATTTCAAGGGCGCGGGGAAGGAAGACTGCAACGCCTGACGATGCTCCCGCATCAGCGGCTTGACGCGTTCCCGGTCCTTCATCCCATTTGCGCCGTTGGCCTTGTGCGCGTGCGCGCGCGCGCGAGCGCGTGTGTGTGTGTGTGCACGTGCGTGTGCATGTGCGTGAGCATATACGTGTGCGCGAAGCGTGCGTGTGTGTGTGTATGTGTGTGTGTATGCGTGCGTGTGTATGTGTGTGTGCGGGGGAGGGAGAAGGGCTACGGGAGCGATTGGTGATCATTTCATCAGTGGCGCCAGTGTGACCGCAGCCGGCGATAATTAATTCAAGCAGGGCCAGGCCGCGGGCTGTTTTTTTAACTCGCGCCGGCCTATTTCTTGCCCCTTAGTCCCCGCAGCGGGCGGCGTAAACAGGGGAAAGTTCCGGGAGGGGGGGGGGGGGGTGGAGGCAGGACACTTAATTAAAACAATGCCGCTGAAAGTCGCCGGCAGTGAGTTTGTGGGGACCGCTCTGAGTGGGTGTGGCGGCGGGGAGTGAGTCCGCTCGTTACGGCACGGGGCCTGGCGTTCAGTGAAGGCGGAGGGCGGTGATTTCAGGTTTGCCTGGCCTGCCGGCAGTTGCAACGCGAAGTGCATGGGCAACGGGCTTGGGATCTAAGCTGTGATCGAAAGTTTCTTCTATTCTGCATCTGAAACACGCCTGTGCATTGAAGGCATTCAGACGAGCTGGACGTCAGTTACGTAACCAGGTGTCAACGCCCTCCGGCTTCCGACTCGTCTTCACCATCGGGTTAACAGCCTTTCGCGTCCTAAGATGGCTCATAGCTGATTCAGGTCGTGCTCTCGGCTTGATCTGGACAAGTCACTAGATAGTTTTCGGGTCTTTAGATAGTGTCCTGCCAATTGTCGCTCTGCAGCCGATCCGTTTGCTCCGTCTCAGCGTGGCTCCGCAGCTCTCCGCAATCGGAATACCTGCCGACACGATGGGCCCCCTCGAGGTCACTCAACCCGTGCAGTCTTCCGTTGCAAACCCATCCTTATTTATATTGTTCTGGACTGGCCTGATTATTTTTTCTAATAAACTCCGACCCTTAAAGGGAGTGTTCCACATTTGTACGAGGTTTTGATCCGAAATGGCCATCTTTCGGTACATTCGGTACAGTTCACATCCCTGCCATTCCAAAGATCTAACCCATCCAGTTTCTGAGCTACACGCCCGAATAACATGCAGGCTATTTTGGGAAGGCTATTTCGAAGCCCCCCAGTTATCCATGGCGCCATGATAACGTCAGTCAGATCGTTTCACGCCGTTAGCCATGTGGCGATCAAGGCCAAGAAAAAACATAATTTTTGAGTCCTTCATATATGGGTTCGTGATGGCGATTTCCAGATATAACAGCCGTCAATTGGCTCTCAGTCAATGTTGTGCACGGTGCGAGGACGTAATTAACTGAAATATTGTGAGGAGCGTATTTACTAAACAGATAAATTGTGACGTCCAGAGCATTATTTTCAACTTGTGTTGAGATGGCGGGCGTTTTAACACGGGAGATGTTAAAACTGGCCGTTTCGGGTGGCCGTGGGGCAGCACACCAAGCCCTTGAAATGGTTGGGTTGATGGTGTTTTGTGGAGATTTGGGACTGGACGTCATTCTGATCAGGGTCTTTTCGCTGGATTGGGAGGATGTTCATGCTCAGATCACGACTTGGCTGAGTGAGTGAGTCGACGTAAGTATCCCAAGTTGTGGTTCCCAACCATCCCAGGTGGCAGGTGTGCAAACGTGTCTTCTTTCCTTGCAGGTGATTATGTGCTTGCCGAAGGCAAAACATTTGAACCAGACGTGGAAAAACCATGTTGCATAGGCAGTGTCAGTTTCCAAATGGTTGTGCTGCCTGCAATAGCCTGATGGTTTGACACAAAAGCCCCAAGGTCAATCAAAGCTTTTCTTAAACAGATTACTGTCAAACTTTCAGAAATATGATTTTCATTTTGCATGACCAAAAACATTGGGCTGTCTTCAAAAAATCCTCAATCGTCACAGACAATGCTTTTCAGTTTGGATGTTTTCATTTGCAAGGTGTCAGCAAATGAGAACAACGGATAACACCATGCTGCAATTTTGCATTGATTTCACACAAAATCGGTATGCAAAACATTGATCTCCTAACCAAGCTTTGAATGTGGACTCAGATAACCAGGCCTCTCAGAAAATACTCAACGTTCCTCATGCAGAGCAATGTGGCCTTAATAACCTGCATGCCTCAAAAGGTTTTGCTAGTCCTGGTGCTACATCACTGATCAAAGCCTAAAACCTTATAAAATGTGCCATAATTTGAAGCTACATTCCGAAAAACCCCAATTATAATTATGCCTGGATGGAAAATGCACCAATTCTCAGCTCCCACACTATTTAAAGGGAATGCTCCACATTCGAAGATATTGAGTTAGGCACCAGATATGATAGGAAATGCCTCCTTGTGACTGTTGGTAGGCTTTCAAAGTTCAACAACGACGCTAAGACGTACAATTTCAAAGTTTATAATAATGAGCCCCATTACGTCATTTTTTGACGGCGTCATGAAATGGGTTTGTGACGGCAGCAAAACCTGGTAGTATCTGGCAGCCAGTCGTAAAGAATACCTCGAAACACACGAAAGCTGGCGCGAACCGGCCATTCTCGTGGAGGGGTCTGTGTCGGGGCGGGTGGCGCGTGGGTTGGTTGTGGATTTTTTGTCTTGGTGCGGGCCATAAGAAAAGCTTTCGTGGACTGTTTGACATGCGCAACGTAGCGATCGCCAGCTTTTATGGCAGATTATTAATATCAAAGCACGATATGCTGTGCTGCTGCTGCTGCTTTGCTGTCGATGATTTTGTCAATACTTTGTCGTTGCGCGCAGTGCTGTAGTCCTGACATTTATATCATGTGATGTGTACAGTAGTCACCATCCTTATTATTTGTGACTGGAAGTGGGGTGTCATGTCAAAATTAATAAATATGTAACATTGTCTTAATTGTTTGTAACTGGAAGCGTGGTGCCATGCAATAATTAATAGATTTGTAACATTGCTGTGCATTGATTGTCAAAGCATTGCCGTTGCTATGATAAAGGTGGTAACATTGGGCTACTGAGAGTGTTTTCTTTGCTTAGGATTGTTCATACAATGCATAGTCAACCCTGATGTAACCATTGTGGTGCAGTGACAATCATGCCACAGACAGTCCTTTAGAATTTAGCATTTGGCATGGACAGTCCTTTTCCTGCCTGCTGATGTGGTGGTTACATTTTTTCACTTGTTTCTGTATATGATGCTGCATCCCAGCTGAAGTGCTCTTGCACTTATGAGAATAGGCCTGCAAGTAAGGCTGGGAAGGGAGGGGAGGCGGTTACCTGGGACGGCCGGACCGACTAACAGCTGGGGCATGGGTACCGCCTATGCAACATGGCTTTGCCATGCCTGGTTCAAATGCTTTGGTTTAGGCAAGGACGTAATCACCTGCCATAAAGAAAATACAATTTTGTACACTGCCAGGAACAGGGTGGGTGGGACAGGTTTTGCCCTCACTCCAGCGGGTGTCATGGAAGACGCCTGGAGCTCCTGCATGGATGAGCTCACTGGCAGCTGGTCGGCAGCAGCCGCTGATTCGGCGAATGCCCCTGTCAGTTGGCCACAAACGCCAGACTACACACTGCTGCTGGGTATGTCGGAACGATCCAGGTCGTCCTTCAGCTGGCTGCGCGATGGCTATTTGAAAGCACGGATCTGGGCTGCAGTCAGATGGGCTGTAAGTTCGGTGTGCTATTGGCTCCCCCGCTGCATCAGGAGCACCTGTGTCGCCTCTGGGCGCCAGATTCCGAAGGGGCGCAAAGGACCCTACCAGTCCTCTGAGCCCACTGTTCCTGTGACCTAATGGTCCTCTGACCCTACTGGTCCTCTGATCTTACTGGTCTTTCAACCCTGCCTGTCCTCTGACCTTAACAGTCCTATGAATCAACCAGTCCTCTGACCTTACCGGTCCTTTGACGCTACCAGTCCTTCGACCCTGCTGGTCATTTGATCCTACCAGTCCTCTAGAGGACCTTACCAGTCCTCTGACCCACCCTGGCCTTCTGGCCCAATCAGTCTTCTGACCTTACCAGTCTTCCAACACTTCTGGCACTCTGACCCTACCGGCCCTCTGACCCTGCCGGTTCTCTCACTGGCCAGTTCTTCCCACCGTCGCGGGACCTTGCGTGCGCTTAATCCGTGTTGACGCTTAAGAGCTTTCATCCGCCAGGGGTCGGGCTCGGTCCGACGAAGCTGGCGTGTGTAGAGCATCTCGCCTGGACCTGCTCACCAGGTCGGTATGGTGGCGGTAGCGGTAGCGCACTCGACTCTGGACCTGTTAGTGTTGGATTCGGGCCTGTGGCACGCCATCACCGTATACCACATACCACCCGAATAAAGGCGTCCTTCTCGAAGTGTCCCTGGCACTCGGTGACACGTAAAGCCCCTGCCATTTGTATTATGATCAGTTCTGTGTGGGTTGTAATTAACACAAGGGCTGTGACGCGTGCATGGCCGAGAGCCAGACACCATCCGGTCCATCTCAGGACTCCAGGCCACCTGACGACGTTCGGAGAATTAACTGGCCGAAATGCCGTGCGCATGTTAACAAACCAGACGAGGACGATACGGCGCGCAACATGGACAGTAGCCAGGAACTCTCCATAATCAGCTGAGTTACGCAATTGCAGCCCCGCCCCCTGGCTACGTACTGATGTCGGGCGAAAACGCCCTTCTTTCCGATTACGCTGTGCTTGCGCAGCGTCCCGAGGAAGAAGCGCCGTTGGCCTCGATATAAGCCAGTGATGAGAAGCAAATGATGGGCTTGTCGCTCGTCCTTGAAAGAGGTCCACGGCGTCCGGCTACGGAATCGCAGATCATTTTCATGAATTTTAGCACGCTTTACAACCAAAGCTGAGCGTAACATTGCGTTGTCCAGAACCTTGCATAAAATATGTTTTCTGTTGCATGGCATGTATTATGTGATGTGCTTGAAGGCAGTCGAGTGACCGTGACTAGTATGATCCCGCCTTACCGAACGTGACAAATGGCAATTTTGAAATGCAGGGAATGGTGGCGAAATCGTGACGCAAACCGCCGGGACAAGGATACAATGTTTCATATCCCGAAAGAAATGTTCACGTGCCCCATTAACAAATCCCATCGAGTTTCGGGGCTAAAATACGAGCTGCACACCATAAGGTGCGCCAAGGTGAGTTTTGACGCCAACATTCTCGGGTTTCGTACCGCGACCTAACCTTGACGTGCATTGATGTTCTAATCTGTTGCTGCTGCTACATGGTCGTATCGCCTTCCCGATCGTTTGAATGCGTTCTGAATCATTCTACATCCGCTGGATGTAAATAGATATTGCCATCGGAGGAATGCTTTTGTGGATATTTCTTTAATTTTTGCGATTATTATTCTGCGCCCGTTCAAATTTCTGCATGGTTGTAAATTTCAAGCGTACTTGATTTCGATGTCCCGTCTTTGGAAGGCCTGTGCCTCTTTGTTAATACCGCTGTCCGATGCGTTAAATGCTCGTTATTAAGTTTCACCTGCCGCACATACGGACTGATGTGAATATTTGTTTGCCGGCTGTTAGTAATGGTTCTGTCAGATTTGACTGTTAAAGTCGGGTTTCCAGCCAGTTGCAAAAGTAGAGCGCGATTTGTAGCCTCACGCGCAAAAAATAACGAAGCAAGAAGCACAATGATCTGAACGCGGTGTACAACTGCGAGGCAGCATATGCGATCCCACGGAATACAAGACTGGATGCCTCAAAGAACCGAGCGTATTCGCCAAGGTCAACGGATGACCGCTGGGCGATATTTCAGCAGATGGCCGGTCGTGACGTCAAATTCTGCCCGTTCAACGGGAAACACATCGTCGACGTTGCCAAGTTCTGGCATCACCTGGAGCACTGCCCGGACAAGGACAGGGTGGACCGATATGTCAGGCACGCACTGGAAGAGAGTAAGCTGCTTTGGTGGGCCACGGCTGTATTCAAAGATGGGTGGGACAAAAAGGCGCACAAATATGGCGGCTCGTTTTAAGCGAACAAAAGAGCCTTGGCACGCGACGCGCCTTGAGCCCAGATGGCCTGCAAATATGGAGAGCAGAGCCCGCTGAAGCTTGGCAATCCGAGTAGGGCCTGATGTTTGACCCGGGCGTTAGAGCAATGCCGCGGTTGGACGGAGTAGCTGAAGTCGTGTGTTAAACCCACAGCAGCGTGCTACACCTAGGCTGATGATGCGATTGATCCTTGCTCCCCTGAGAGCCCGAAGCCCACTCTGTGGGGGCGGGTAGCGGGTGCGAGTGAACGCTTGGGCGTACCGCAGTGCGAGCCGTGCGGCGGGCGGAGCCGGTGGAGACGGCGCCGGGCCTGCGCTTTTCTGGGCCGGACGAGAGCTGGGACGACTGTGGTGACACGCCGCGGCGTGGCTCCTACGACCCGCAGCTGGCCACCGCCAACAGAGATATCTTCAGGTGTGACCTCTGGCCGCCGGCCGCCCACTGACCGCCGCCCACGCACTCACGCAGCTCGACACGCAGCCCCAGTGCGCGAAGATAGCTGGAAAATCACGTAAATCGTGGCCCGCATTGAATCGCCTCTGGGTAGCTTGGTATTGAATAATCTCGACCTTAATCCGGGCAATTTTTGTTGGATTAACATTATAATACAACATATTGATATATAAATACAATTGTTATGTAATATATTAACATAACATTACATTGTGATTTTTGCAGATGGCCAGTGGACTTGGTTCCGTTACATGTTTTATTGGAAGGACATGCCATTTTGGTTTTCTTTCGCGGGTTTATATTTATGCCACTCATTACGGAGGTTTTACGGCGGAATGAACTGCACTTCACAAAACCGCGTGACTTCGCTGTCATGAGGGACGTGACGTCAGTGTGCGCATGGTTTTTATGTGCAAGTAGCAAAACCGCGGGTCGTCGACACTGGCGCTTGCAGCAATCACCAGCACAACATACCAGGACCATCCAAGCAGCGGATTGTTTTGAATCACCCGCTCGCAGTTTAGAGCTGGGCTGGTGCATGCTGACCTCGCTTTGAAAAAATGCTCCACACGCAGCAGCCACGGCAGATCACATGACTGCCACAACCGGCCGTGTCTGGTCGCGGTCTGAGCACACTAGCGCCACCACGCGGCCCGCGACCTCCCCTGAACGCCCGTTGCTGGTGCGCCGCTCCGTGGCCGCCCGGCCTCGCTGAGCGTGTCGTCATGCCGCTGCAGGTTCCCACAGGGACCGATGAGCAAGTCTGAGCGTCGCCAGTTTCGCAGCGAGGCAGTGGCTCGTCTGCGTGCCATACAGCGCGACAAGACAGCGGCGGCCGAGGCGGGGGCGTCTTCAGCAGCGGCGTCTTCAGCAGCGGCGTCTACGGGCTCGGCGCTGACGCCGCGCCATCAGCTGGACAGGGGTGAGCCGCTGACCGGCGGCCCGTGCTGCGCCGCTGTCAGGTGGCCCGTCGCCTCCCGTCTGGCTGCCGGGCGGGAGAGACGGGAGTCGCATTGGAGCTCGGTTCGGCTCTGAGGTGCTCTGTTCCGGTCAATGGCGGGTCACTGGGACGGCTCAGCTGGGTAACGTTATCACGCTGACTGCGCCCGGACCGCGAAAGCGAGGCTATGCGTTGCGTGCTTATCTCGGGTTGTACATGCTTGTCGTCGGCTCTCCGTGCTCGTCTCTGATTCTCCGTGCTGTTTGGATGTTAATTGGGACTTTAGGCGCGCCGACTACTGCCAGTTTGCCCGGCAACAGTTAAGTGACCACCGAGGCGTGCAGATGGCGAAAATCCTGTAAAGGTAAAGAAAGAAAACAACAGTCGTATCAAGAACGCGAGAGTCGTGACCAGTGATGTTCGAACTAGTGAGAATTGGAGCATTTCGTCCGACGCAGCATAACCGCTCTTCGTTGAAATGTTGTTCTCCCGCTCGTCTCCGGTTCTCCGTGTCGCGCGCCGCCCCCAGCCGTTGGCTGCTGGCTGGCCGGGCTGTAGCTGCGGTGCCGGCGGCGTAAAGCCCGTGCCCTGCCCCGCCCGCAGGCCAGAAGGAGGCCGAGGCGGCGCCGCCGGCCTCAGCCGCGGTGGAGCCTGTGGTCGCGGCGCTGCGCCAGGTGACCATCGGCAGGGGGCGAGGTGAGGCGGGCCGGTGCACGTTCGACGAGTCGCCTCGCACGAGTGTGACGTTACGAACAGTGCGAGCGTCGCCATAGTCTGCACTCACACTGCATCATGGGATGCAACACCCCATTGCGCTGATGCCGCCCAGCCTGATGTTTTATCTGGGGTTTGCAGCTATGGCGAAGCGGCAGCGAAGTGGTGCCGCTTGGGGGGTATGGCAGGCCGTTGATTTAGGGAACCTCTGGTGTCATAACCGAATGCCGCATGTGTAGCTGCAAAAATTGCTGATGTGGGTGTGAAAGTTCAATGCCTCCGGCGTCTGTGACGTAGCGCTGCCGTGCTTCGGTTCAGTCGGTCAGCCGACTCCGGTCTTTCCTTCCTCAGGACGCGGCACTCAGATGACCAAAGCTGGCCGTGCCAAGTCCAAACAGCCCAGCGGCGTGTAGCTCGTGAGTAACGAGCTAAGCTCAGTGGCTGGTGGTGCTGACTGGTCTGTTGCGAAGAAACTATGCGTGGTTCTGCTGAAATTTGTTGTATCGTTTGTATCATGACTGTGCTAGCGCGTAACTGGGTCCGTCTACGATCTTGGTTTTGTCAGGTAATGTTATGATTCTGTCTTATTATCTTGTCCAAAACAACGGGTATCAGCGCGGAAAATCGCACCAAATCGGAAGGAGAAACACTTTTAACAGTTCGTTTGTACCTGGGGGAGGGGTGGAGGGACTTGACTGCACTGGTGCTGTGATTACCGTCGTGTGTTTACCACCATGCGCCATTTACCACCCTACCTCTGCTCATTATCGTGGCCGTCAGCGCATACTGGGCTGTTCACCGTAAGATTCACCGCTGTCCCGTCCCCAGGGGCGCCAAGCGGCCGACCGGGAGGAGTTTGGCCTCCGGCGGTCGCGCGCCAGGCGCGGGGCACAGCGACACTCTCTAGTGCCCAGCTTTCCGCCCTGGACGTGTGCCGAACATCACTGGATCCGGCCCGGTCGAGGATGACCGGGCCTACAGCTCAGGGCAGCACGACAGGTACTACGCAAGCACGAAGAGTTTGCGTTGTGTACAGAGCGTCGATTCTCAGGTGGAGGTTGCTTTATCATATTTTGCGGGCCAGTGTTGTTGACGGACGTCAGCCCTACGTTCTGCGACACTGGCAGCTGCTGCATCGGGAATGTGAAACGGCTTCGGGCCGAAGTACCTCAGGGTTGGGCTGGTGCAGCGTCGGTGGTGGGTGCCCCGGGCTTTGCCGTGGCGCTCACTCAGCGTCAGCAGGCGCGCGGTGCGCGGCGCGGCTGGTGTCTGACGCCCGGACCGGGGTCCGTGCGCAGAGCGGTGTTGGGCTGGTGACTCGGGACTGGCTGTTGGACTCGGGACGCGGCGCAGGGCTTGATTGCGTTCGTCGGAGTTTATGTTACCAGAAGAGATTGCACGAGACGGTTCCACCTATCGCACAGGAACACTGAGGATGTTACTAGTGCTTAAAATACCAATCTTTTTTCGTAATGTGCTGTCAATTTTTATAGTGCGCCTCTCGAACATTTATGTTACGAAGCTCCATACACAGTTTGTTCATTTAACGGTGTTGGGTGGGGGGGGGGGGGGGTCAGCGAGCTCAGAAAATAAGAACACTCGTTTTTCGTAGGTTTTTAGTACGTCGGTTTCCAATGGTCCAGAAATACATCTTGGCCGCGCCTCGCGTAACCTCAGAGCGTTTTTACACTGATGCGACCAAACAAAGTTATGCATCCAAGACCTGAGTCCGAGTCGGCGTCCAGAAGTCCGAGTCCTGGTGTTAAAGTGCGCCGCGCACTTATACAAGTGTATACAATGAATACCAGCAGTCTGCGACACTAGATGTTCAAGGTCGGGACCACATCAGACTGCAGCTGACGAACGGACGCCCAGTTGGCCCGCGTGAGCGCATGCATAAAATGCTTGGCGCGCGGATGCGCGCCGAAGGCAGCGCAAGGGGTATGTGTGGCCGTAACGTCACTGCCGTCACGGCAGTGACGCTTCATGAGCCGTGACGATTTCCAAAATTAGCGTCAGTGCACCATCCGATGCTCTCGGATCATCCCACGTGCACTGAAGCTAGGCCGTGGGACGGCGCCACGTGACCCCTCCCGTGAGGCGATGACGGCGTGGTTTTGGTGCTGTCGAAAACTGAAATGAAATGTGCAGCGTGCCTTGACTTCGCCGCGCATTACGTTTAGGACGCGTGAACGGCTCGGCAGGGACAGCGACTGCGTACCGTCCGACCGCACCACGGACCAGCCGCGGGAGATGGTCCAGTTACCAGCTGGAGGTGTCGATCAGGGAACGGCTATAGTCTCACTTTTAAATTGTTTGGCATGTTGGGTGTGCAATCGACAGCGAGTCGCACTCCGACACAAGAACAAGGTGACTAAACCACGGAAAGTGGCAAGGGGCAGGGGGATCTGTTTGGACTTATCTGGCAGGAGTGTAGCGTGACTTGCATTTTACCAGTGCACCAGCAATATCGACCCCACTTGTAGCGGCCTCCAGTCGGTGGCCGCAGTCCATCGCAATAATATGCTTGCCACATTGCAGCACTTTTTTAAACACACATACAAAAACAAACAAATGATCACTAGAAGTACCCAAGGTAGGGGAATCCACAAGGACTCAGCTCCGCAACCAAGATATAACACGCTTTTTAAATTGGTGTGTCTGGCCGGTACACGATACCACCACACCTGATCGACGCAGATTTGACGTAACAGTCCTGATAAATAAATAGCGTGCACAATTGCGTCTTGCCATCACAAGGAATGTTCCAAGACGCTCCACCCTTGCCTTGCGTAGTGTCAATAGCCATGCCATCCACAGTCGCTACACTTGGGCCGCTGCGGGCTTTGCACAATGTTTATATCACACTTAATAGTTTGGTTTGTATTTCTTGACTTCCACCATGATGTGGTGGATGTTGATGGCTTCTCCCCGGGCTGGTAGGTTCTTCAAAGCCTGCAGCCCCAGGATCTTCTGGAAGCGGTTGTAGTAGAGGATCAGCTGCTTCAACGCATCTTGCAGAATGTTGGTTCCGTTCCTGAAGTTGGTGAAGGACCGCATGATCTCGTTGTTGATATCTTCCAGAGATTTCTTCCAATTCGCAGCGAACGAGCGCACCAGGGTGGTGATCCGTCCTGAAGCATCGCAAACGGAACGGTGCTCACGGACCTCGCGAATAACTCGGACACTACACAATTCGTCCAATGGTTTCCTGTTAGCCAAAATGTTCGACTATCCGGCATGGGTGCACTTCTTTATCGACATCCCTCCCTCTTTTAAACCGACGTCCCAATGTAATCTCTCTCCGAACCAAACATAGTCAACGCCACACTCACGCCCCTCCATCCCTCCCCAGCCCTGACCCAGATGACACCCACGCCCCTGCACCCCTCCCCAGCTCTAACGCAGGACGACACCCACGCCCCTGCACCCCTCCCCAGCTCTAACGCAGGACGACACTCACGTCCCTGCCATCCCTCCCCAGCCCCACCTCCGAACGCCACTCACACCCATGTCACCCTTAATAGCCCTGACCCCGGACGACTCGCGCCCCTGGCCCCTGCCACCCCTCGCCAGCCCCAGCACTCACGCCCCTGTCACACCTCACCAGCCCCAGCACTCACGACCTGTCACCCCTCGCCAGCCCTGACCCCGGACGACATCCACGTCCCTGTCATCCCTCCCCAGCCCTGACGCCGGACGACACTCACGCCCCTGTCGTCCCTCCCCAGCCCTGACCCCGGACGACACTCACGTCCTTGTCATCCCTCCCCAGCCCCGGCACTCACGCTCCTCAGCTCGCAGCGCGTCCATGTCGGCCCGCTCCACCATGGCCTCGGCGTCGCGCACCAGCTGCATCAGACCACCGAAGTGCGGCGCCAGGATCTCCTCCACGTACTCGGCCGTGCGCACGGCCAGCAGGTCACGGAAGCTCTCGGACTCCTTACTGTTGTCCTTGGTCCGCTCCTGACGGCGGGCGACTGGCGTGAGGACCACACTGGTGCCCAGACACACACACCCTTCCTTTCGGCTGTCACGTGACGGGTCCGCGGCAGGTCCTGCCGCGGACCCGTCCCGGACCCTCCTGGAGGGCTGGCAACGCAGACGTGTCGTCATGAGGGCTACTTGCTAAGGATTCTCAGAAGCTGGGGCTCAACTCACAAACCGCAATCGAATAATCACGCGGCATTGATTAAAATTACTACACAATACAGCTTCCACCTTTAAGTTTTAAGCACTACGATGTCAGCAGACCGTGCTGAGCCAAACGATGGCTACCGCGAGTTTTGGCCCAACACGTCACCGTCGGCGCGGAGGCACCAGGCCGGCGGTGGCGGCAGCAGACACGCACACACCATGATGACACCCAGCATCATGTCGTAGTTGTTGATGAGGAAGATGAGCTGCTCCTTGCGACGGCTGAACTCGGCGGCCAGGCGCAGGATGAAGTTCTCCAGCTCGGCCTGCAGCTGCGCCAGCAGCCGGTTCACGCGCTCCGACGGGAACGACTCGTTGATGCCGACCAGCGCGGCCGAGAACTCGGCGTAGCGCCGCGTGATCTGCGAACAGCCGAGGGAGGAGCGGGGACGTCAGACGGGCGGCAGACGGGTAGCGTACTAGGCTAGCCCCAGCGGACCGCCAGCCCCAGCAAGCAACGTGCCTGTGATCGATCAGAAACGGCACGGCTCTGCTGGCTGAAGCGGAGCACATGTGCCCGTAGTGAACGGCCTGCACGTTTTTGACCGTCACAAATCAAGTCACAAATCTGACAAACAAATCGTATCACGTGATGGCAGGAATCGCTACTTGCGACCCAGCCCGGCAAAGCAGGCACTGCCAGTATTGGCGCAGCTCGGCCGTCACCACAGACCCAGCGGCTGGAGCTCGCGGCGAGCGTCCGTCCGGTGCGGCCAGTCAGGACGCCGTGTCAGGCGGCGCGCCCTGCTCCGGCGCCGGCGCCACTCACGTAGTGCGGCCGGACGTCGATGGCGCCCAGCTTGGAGGGGTCGCACTGGCGGACGCTGGCGATGTTGAGCTCCATGATGTGACAGAACCTGCCGACAGCAGACGACACGCTCCTGAGCATGCGTCTCCGCGGAGGACACGCGGGCGGGCGCCAGAGTCAGCAAACGGCGCGGCGGCGGGCCAGCTGTATACCCTGCTCATGGAACGGCCGCCGTCGGAAATAGCCCGGCATGAAGACGACCCATTCCACCCACACCATGTGGGTTATCACTTCCTCTGCGCACTTGGTACACAGCGCGTACAAGCATTCATCAATAAGTGGAGACCCCTTATGGTGAATGATTCGAATCCAGGTCCTTTCCGGAGCCGAACACCGACGTCCCCAGAACACCACAGGAATGTCTCTTCGCTCGCGTGGCTCACCGACGTAAGGCACGCCACATGCCCCAGCCAGAGACCCGCGGCGCACGGGTGCACGCACGACTGAACTTACTTCGGCCAGAGCAAGTTGAGCAGCATGTCCCAGTACTTGTCCAGCGCCGGCACGGCCCGCTTGTGGCACATGAGCTGGTACCGATGGATAAGGTGGATGCAGAGGAACAGTCCGATGCTGTCGTAGCAGTCCACCACCAGCACGTCCACGGATTTCTGTCGGCAGTGGCACGCGCGGTGCGAAGTTGGGTGACGCGGAGTGGACTCAGCCGTCTTTCTTGTCCAGTGAGGAGCCCGCTAACAGCTTCTCGTGCCACCGCTGGGGGACCGCGCGGCAGGACAGAGGAGGTACAGCTGCCGGAATACGCCCTTCAGTGACAGAAAACGTGTGTTATCACAAAGTACCCGAGCTCTATCACCCCGCACGATTCATCACATTTAGAGAACTTAGTCTACTCCGCTGCTCGCTCTCACTCGCGTCCATCTCATCACGGTCCCGACCACAGTGCACTGCCGTTCAACTCAGCGGTCTCCATAAACGCACGTCCCCACCCCCTCCCTCTGCCCACTCCACTGACCGCCAGATTGTGCAGCGTCTTGCCCATGACCGAGGCGAACAGGTCCTGCGCGGCACTCCCGTGCACCATGAAGAACTCGGCCAGGAACAGGTACTCGCGACAGGCGTTGTCCACCAGCGCGTACTGCACGCTCCGGAACAGGCTCTCGAACGGGTAGCGGGTGTCGGCCTTGTGGGCCGCGTGCGGCACGATCACGGCCGCCTCCAGGCTGGTCAGCACGTCGCCGCGCGCGCCCAGCGAGAACACCGTGGCGCGGTGCTTGAGTGCCGGCCTGGCGAACAGGGAGCGAGCGGCCGCCTCGTCGGCCGCCAGCAGGTCGTCCTTGGTCGGGCCCTCCTCGAACTGGCCGACGGGGAGGGGGTCAGCGGCGGCGATGCATGGCTCACGAAGAGAACGGTACATAGCAACGCAGCCAGGCGCTGAGGACCTCAGGAAGCAAAGGGCCGAAAATAGACTCGGTCAAGGCCCTCAATCCACAACACTTGTGTGGTGGCTTTACACGCATACTGTGGAACGTTTACGCAGCCGACAGGGACAGGCTGCGGAGCGAAGGGAATAGCGTATGGATTTAACTAGTACAGGATAATGAAAAATGGGGCCAATGGCGCTGACATAACCAAATGAAGGTCACACCAATCGCAAAACTTACTGGACAGGCAATGACAAACACGCGGGAAAATTCACTGAAGTTTGTGTACGCTAAGGAAGCAAACTGTCAAATGGACCACTCCCAAGCGAGTTGCGATCATGGCGCATTGACACAATACCGAAACATATGATGATTTACTTTGCGTCCAAACGGCCTTTTCTACGGGGTGCAAAGATAACCTCCACGTTCCTGCCTGTTATCGAAACGATGTTTGCTGACTCGATCACATTACGAAACACGAAACCAAGTGAATACGTCACGCAACGAAGTGAATACCGCAAGGGAAATTGCCAGCTTTCAGTTTCTCAGCCGGCCGCACGGACAGCGGACAAAACAACGACGTAAGTAATAACCTCTCTCCATCATGCCGATCATTGGATCCTTTTGAGAACACGTGACTCTATGACATCTAGCCCGCTGCCGTTTCGGTCCCGGGTCATCTTCCCGGCGCACGCAGTGGCGCTTACCAAGTCACAGAGCACAAGTCACGTGCTCCAAAAAAGAAAGTCTCGGATGAGAATCAGTACCTGGAGCTTCATCAGGCGCGCCGAGTACGACTTGAAGTAGCTGAAGTACACCTTGCTCATGGTCTCGATGTAGTCGTCCCGGATCTCACGGGCCACCTCCCGCTCGTTGGCCACCAAGAACTTGTAGAAAAACCTGACCGCCGGGGCATGTGCACAGCCGTGAACACAACCAACAGGGTAGATATGACGCACTAGGCACCAGATTCGTTTCAGATTTGACAGGCGTTCTCAAGCCTCCCCGTTGCATTGGTACTTAGCAAGATAACGTGAACCACTGGCCACCTAGGTAAGAGCGCCGTACGTTTGAAGAAGGTACGGGTTTTCCTCACTTGTATTTCAGCATGGCGTTCTGAGGGACCTGGAAATTCGTCATCGGTTTTCGAAACTGGTAGATTTTCTGAAGCAGGTACTCCCGGATTTTGGAGATGGACTTGACCTTTAGCTTCTCTAACACGTCGTTAACGTCATGGCATGACTTGGCCTCTGGAACAGATTGTTTTCCACAGGATCAGCACATCTGCTCAGACTTTGTGGGCAGCACACCCCAGCAAGATTCGTACAAAGGGCTTCAAAACTGTATCTTATTGCGCTTGTTGGGATATCGAAATCGACCCAGTTGCCCGAAAATTAAACCTGGTCAGCTACGAATGACCCGCTTGCGGCATCAACTGCACGAGACAAAATCTGCCCGTTTTTTAACAGAAAAAGGAAACGCGACGCACGATGTCACGGCCCTTTTATCGAACGTCAGCGACACATTATTCATATAATATTATTGGAATGTCAGCGACATAGTGCATTGCCCGTATTAGCGTTCCACAACCGTAGCACAACCGGAATTTTAACCCGCTCCCCACGTGTAAATCCGAGGCGCTACCCACCCGGTCATTGCAACCCCGTGGCACTATCGCAAACCTAAGGCCATTCGGCCCCATGTGGGGCAGCTCGCGCGGTGAGGCAAGGGGCCGGACCTCTGAAGCTCTGCTCCTTGACGAAGCTCAGCTTCTGGTCGAGGGTGAACAGCTGCTCGAGGAACTCCCGCTCCGTCACCGGCGTCTCCATGATGTGCCTGAGACGTGACAGCCCGTCACACGCCGCAGTACACACACGCACGCCATGACCAGACGCTCCTTGATTATGAACACCACATGCAGGATCAAACTCACAGGAGTTAAAGCAGTTACAGGAGTTAAAGTTGATCCCACCAAAGGTAAAATAACGCACCAGAGAAATAGACATCGATTGCCGCTCATATTTGACATTGCTTCAGTTTCAAACCAAACAAGCATTCTGCTAGATTTGTTGTTGGTATGACAATTACTTTTTAGTCCTTTACTGCCCATCGTCGATAGGAAAGCATGATCTTAGAGGGCACAAATTTTTGATTACCTGTTTTTTTTGCATGTCTAAAATTGATAAACGCCTGAATACGAAAAAAACTGAGATCCAGGGCCTATCAGGCCAGGTGATCGCGGCAGACCCGGGGTCTGACCAGACCAGACCTGGCGCCCCAACAGCGGCCAGCCAGACCCAGCCGGGTCGGGCCGGGGTCAGAGCACGCGCTGCTCACCTGATCATGGTCTCCGGGACCGTCATGTCGTCCACGAACTGGCTCAGCTGGCCGCGCACCGCCTGTCGGTTCTTGAGGCGCAGGTTCATGTCCACCGACTGCTGCTGCAGGTGCACGATCTCGCTGCTGATGCTGCCCAGGTCCGACTGGAACGTCTGCAGCATGTCCTCCATCCGCTGCCGACGCAGGGTCAGCGGTCAGAGGTTAGCGGTCAGAAGCAGCCGTCAAAGGTCAGCGGTCAGAGGTTAGCGGACAAAGGTCAGGAGCCAGCAGTCCGTGGTCAGAGGTTAGCAGTTACTGGTGAGAGACCAAGGGTCAGCAGTCATAAGTCGGAAGTCATAGGTCAGCAGTCAGCGGTCAGAGGTCAGAATTCAGCGGTCACAGGTCGGCGGTCAGAGATCAGAGGTTAGCAGTCATAGATCAGTAGTCAGCGGCCAGAGATCAGCGGTCAGGGATCAGCGGCCAGAATTCAGCGGCCAGAGGTCAGCAGTCCCGGGTCGGTGGGCCTGCCAGTACAAAGATACGGACGTCGACGTGCACTCACTAATCTGGCACTCGCAACATCGCGAAACATCCTGCGTGCGCGATGGCTCACGATACTGTGAGTTCGATATCACGAAAATAGATCGTACATTAAGTATGGCGTCCCTGAAATGCAACTAATTTCTATACTGAGATACCCGGGTTGGGTGTTGTTATCCGTAACAAACATAACTGGTAATTTTTCCACTTCAGAAAACTGCGTCCACCCGAACAAAAACCTGTGGTAGAGGTTATGACCCTCGTGACTTACGAAATTACATGCATCCATAAGTATGTTTCAACGTCAACCAAAAGGTTCTCAGCGCGCTCGAGGCTGTAAAGAGATGTAAGTTTCACGGATGGCTGCGAAATGGAGGCATGGACTCTTACCTCCAGGATCTGGTCACACGCAGTTATTTGGCCGTGCAGCTCGGTGATATTTCTGCTCTCTTTAATGTAGTCCTGGATTGATGCATTCTCCACCTGAAAAGCAAGTTAACGAAAATTAATAACTTGCCTGATTGTGGGTTCGAACAAGCTTCCTGTTCCATATTTATATTTACTGAACAATTTCTCTCCGGGCAGAGATGTGGTGCGGCCCCTCCGGCCGGTTTCCGAAGTCTTCGTAACATTCCGATCTCACTTATTGCTGCGCAGTCCATGATAATATCTGTGTCACCCGAGTTTACCTTGGAAATTCTTGATCTACATCACATTATGTCAATCCTATATATTTCTCTTATACGCCTTCACCGTTAAACCATCGAAAGTCGGGGCTCCCAGTACCATCTTGGCACTGTGCACCTCATACTATCTTGTGGGGGTCTGTGAGGTAAATGTCACATGAGGTTGAACCTAGAGGTTGAGGTCACATTATTTCATCCCATCATGCAATCATAAACTGGCATGTGGCATGCATCAGCATCACTCAAAACCACTGTCAGCCAGGATAAGTATTGAACATCACCCAACATCATTTTATGTAGAACTTTTGTATCACACAAGCAGCAGCAGATCTTGAAGTTGGATCAGGGTCTGGGACTGAATGTTTTTCCCTTTCACTTGATGCAACACTGCATGACTAATGTTCCTTTTTCCCTGAGATGGTGTCAGCTATCCCCAGTCATCTGTTACCACTGCGGTGTACCAATATCATGGTTGCACAGCCAGATTGGGAAGAGCCAAGGTCATGGCACATCATGTGATAACACCTTAAATTACCTTACTTCTATCCCTTTGAACTAGCTGGGGTCATGCTTCAAGCTGAACCACCTATATTCTGAGGCATATGAAAATATATGCAGCTAAGACAGCCAGAAACAGCATGGCCTCAGTTGACCCGACTTGACTGCTTCATCATGTGCAAGCAAGATAAGGGAGTCACACTAAAACAATTCTGTTGCAATGATTTTGGTAAGGACAGAGATTACATGCAGGGTTACCAACCTGCTCCTGAATATTTGTCCTGGTATATGCAGCATGGAACTGGCAAATGCTTAATGTGAAAGGTGGAGAAGGTGTGAAAGATGTTGAAACTTCAGAAATACAATTTTAGTCCCAGTAAATGCTCACTCCTCCTGATCAAAATCCTACTGGCACAGCAGCCTTCAGGGTACAACAGAGTTCAAGGAGGAATGTGGAAGCATTGGTTTAAGGAGGAATGTGGGAGCATTTTACACAAAGCAAAAATGGTAAGTATGAGGCAAATAACATTTTTCAAAGGACTCATAAAAAATATTTAAACTCATATGATGGCCATTAATAAGAAGCCTGCAAGCCAGATGTGTGTTTAAGAGGCAAGAGCATTCTAAGTTTAAGTAGCTTGGGGCACCCAGCTGTATCAAAATATGGTATCTTTGCAACCAGACCACTTTGACTATTTTTTACCTCTCCTTTCCAATAAACATCAGCACCACAGACTTTGCTAACTGTAAAGAGGCACACAATGCCAATCAGCCTCCCACCCAGACTTCAGTGATCCAGTGCCATAGCAAAAGAAAAACAGCAAAAGTTGATAAGAAAACAAGTCCTATATTTGCCAGTTAGATCACAGAGGTATGGATCAATCTGCACAGCTGGCTATGTATGCTCATGCCCAAATAATACACCTTAGCTTTCAGACATTTTGGGAGAAGTTAACCTTGGTACCAAGAGCAGATTAGCTCCTGACCTTAACTGAGATACACAGGGATTTTACAGCTGCACATCATACAGCTATTATGCTAGCTTATCATGATGAATATCTGTTCAATATTATTTTATTTGAACACCATGGTCACAGGCAGTGAACATGATTTCATTCCAGTTCATGTGGAAATGGCCAAGCCCATGGAAAGCCCATTTACAAGCACTGTTGTTGGTGGATCAGAGAGAAAATGCTACATATAAGCCCCCTGCCTACAACAGCACCATGTAGGATGAATGTTCAATTATATTGGCCAATACATACCTTTGCGGCTGCTTACGTACCTGCCTGAGTTTTTGCTCAACTTGTGTAGAGTACTGACGCAAATCGATACCACTTTCCAACGCTTCTTTAAGAGCAGCATTGTTTATTTGGTCTTGGTCCTCCATCTCGGTTCTCAAATGAGCTGCAGGATAAAGCCACGACAATAGATACCTGCAGAGATACAGCTGCAGTCCAAGAACACAATAGTCGCCTATCCACTGCTGTTGACGATGCTAACATTACACTACCAATCAGATGTAGCTTGAGCGCCATATCTGTAATGTTTAAACCAGGTAAGGTTTGATGACGTAAGACAAAGCCTGTTACTTATTACACAATAAAAGCAGTAGGTGTATCATTTATTTGACAGATTTTAGTGATTTTTAATTATGTTAGTTGAAAAGATAGAAAAATTTTGGGTACAATCGTGAATAACGTCATGTAGATGTCATTGGACTTGTAGACCACTTATCCATAACTCTGCCGCAGATTAGCCGGGTTTGCGTATTCTTGTTTTACGATTTACGAGAAGAGACGCTGCACCGCGCGTTTGGTCCGTGTTTGATTATTTTAAGTAAGTTATGTAGTTTTTGATGTCATGATTACATTTCCCGTCTTTTTTATTTTCTTTGTTACGCAATTTCGTTGCAGATTTGGTTCACGATTGTACGGTGTACTGTCATTTTGATTTGCGCAATTTTTGTGTATGGGTGTGTGCCATGCTTGCAATAATGCAATGCCTTGCAGTTTAAATGACACTGAGAAGACAGTGGTGTTTGTGCAAATATTTAAATAGGAATATCACATTTCAAATGCATCATTACATTATAATACTTTTGTCACCCATTTAACACAAATATTGCATGTTGTAAGCTTCCTACATGATCATTGACCTGATAAGATTCCATGTGTGAAGACATATTTATATTTTGGTGGGAAGAAGGGGGCACCCTGAAGCAAAAGACATGCCATAATTGTGTCTGTGCAGAAAGTGATTTAAAGAAAACATTGTTTTGGGTGGTTAGAGCTGCAAAAGTAGTCTCCAAACATGATATGATAGCATGATGTTGGAGAGTCAGGCAGTTGTGTATTGGCCAGATATGGACACATATTTTTGATGATAGATCTGTCTGGATGTGACAAGATGGGAGAGCAGGATGCTTCTAACCCTCACATTTCAAACTTATATGGAGTGTATGTGGGCTTGTTTCCTTAAGAGGAGGTTCTAAGTATTGTTTGGTGCAAAGTGCCTCAAATCTGCACTGCCTACTAAGGGGATTAAGATTTAAATATCTGTGACCAAGAATTCTGAGATGAAGGTCTCAAAATTTGGTTATGATTATGCCTATTTGGCTGGTAACTGGTGATGCAGGTCTGGTAAGGTTGATGTACCTATGCTGCTCTTTAATTACAGAGTAGCTATATTGTACGTACTCAGTGCTTGTTCGTGCTCTGAGCTTGATGCCATGATGTGTGCTGAAGTTGTTTTATCAGTATGGAACCAAATGTTATATCAGCTAGGGATTGTGAAATGGGAACAGGGCTGGCACAGCAGGCACTGCTCAGCATGGGTGCTGGTCCCAGAAATCCATGTAAACTAAATGTTAGAACAAATAGCATGCAGCTCCATTGCTGGAAAACTTTTAAACTGATGCAATGCACATAAGACTCAGGTATATAGGGCTGCAAATTGTCTGTCTAATCTTGCGATTTTGCAGGTCTGTCCCATCACCTGCCTGCAATGTCTTCCTGTGGAGATGTTGGTCAAGGTGTGAACACTGAAAAGGTTAGATTGTATTATTGCTGTGAGATTTTCTTGGTGGTCATTATCTAAATTGCTATGACCATGTCATGAAACAAGCTGCCACGATGTTCTGTTTGGTATCATCCTGTACAACTTTGTGATATGTGAATGTGACATGCTTTCCCATCACTAAATGCTGATTACACTGGGAAGCTTCATATTTGACTAAATCACCTTGACATTATCTGTGTGTGCACCTTACTCTGACCATGGTCTGGCGGCGACGTCTCGGCAGGCGGCGGCAGACGAGCCGGCGGCGGCGGTCGGCGGCCCGGAGCCGGCGCTGGTGGCGGCAGGCGGTCCTGAGCCGGCGCTGGCGGCGGCGGGTGGCCCCGAGCCGGCGCTACTGGCCGCGGGCGGCCCGGCCGTCTCTCAGCAGCGCCTGGTGGATGTTTGCCGGGGCCATGCTGAGCAGGTGGAGGACAACAAGCGGCTGCAGGTAGGAGGCGGGCGGGCGCGGGCGGGCTGACCACACTGTCCTCCGCTGTTTCACAGTCGTCATCAGGCTTACGGCCGAACCGGAGGCTTGCGGACTGATAGTGACATCCTGCTCGCATGCTTAAATGGCTAGATGATGACGGAGGAAAGTACATGTTGGCTAGATAGGGGAGCAGTGGCAAGTGTGCACTCATAAAAACACTGCGTTGCCGCGACCGAACGACTTTGTCCGATTTTGCGTGCGCCGCGTAATGTCAGCACTTCATCAGTCAATCCATGCACACGTATTTACCTATCAAGTGTGCTGCGGCTTGGTGGCCCGCCTGACCGCGCTGTGCCGTGTCGCAGTCGTCGGTCCGCAAGCTGAAGCACCGGTTGGACCAGCTGCTGCGCGAGACGTCCGGCCTGGAGGTGGAGCAGGCGCGCGTGCTGCTCACGCGCAGCCAGCTGGAGGCACTCTGCCGGGAGCTGCAGACGCAGAACCGCGCCATCAAGGTATGCTTGTGCAGCCACGCCAGAACCGAACTGATACCCTGTCCTTTGTTTTCACATGTTGCATATCTTGGCTGTAAATCCCATAACATGATTCTTGGAAGTCCTTGCAATGTGGGTTAGGGCATGATGGTCGGTACAATTTTCGTGGCTGGCAGCGGTTCCGCCGGTGCAGCAACGTCTGCCACCTCGGCCTCCGGCTGCTCCCCGCGCGGAGTCCCCCCCCCCCCCCGCCACCGCTGCTGGCGGTGGGTGGCGCTGACGCCCGCCGCCGCTGCCGACAGGAGGAGAGCCAGGCCAAGGTGCGCGAGGAGAGCGAGAGGCGCCGCGCCGTAGCCGCCCAGTTCCAGACGACGCTGAACGACATATCGAGCCTGATCGCCGACAGCAGCGAGAAGAACGCCAAGCTCACCGACGAGAACGCCAGCATCTCCGGCAAGCTGGCGAAGCTCTGCCAGCAGTACGAGCAGAAGAACGCGGTACGACTGGACGCGCCGTGCCGTTTACGGGAGAAGGCGGGATGCGTGTGGCTTGTGAAGGCTTTGTCTGTCAAGGCCTCACATCGAAACAACGACCAATGGGTGTTTTCTTACGTATTTATTTGTGCTGGATTAGTGCAGCGTTTGGCCTGTGACAATTTTGGCCGTAAAACGACGACTGATCTTAGGAGTTGCTGATTTCCCCCCAATTTTGTCCTTTTGTCAGGTTTTCAGGCGTAAGCCACCTTGTGGTATTCCTGTTTTTCAAGTGTGGAATCACCGTGGTAGTTGGTGGTAAGCTTTACATCGCATGGTATCCTCAACATGTACTGACTGGTTCGCAGATGGTTGCAGAAATGGTCAGGCAAAAGGAACTGAAGACTCAGTTGTCAGACGCCCAGGTTGCCAAAGTGCAGGCAGAAATGAGAAAGCAACGAGAAAAGTTCGCAGAAGAGAGGCGTAAGCTACAACAGGTATTCACTGTATTCCATCTCATCCGTGGATCCTAATCTTCGTTTTTTGTCATGGTGCAAAAGAAACTATGTGCTAAACTAAAAATTAAACTAACATACTAAACTAACGAGCAAGATTAAATGTAACTTATAGTAAATGAAGTGCAAAGGTAGCGAAGTAATCCAGAACTCGCTCGAAACTGTGATTTCTTGCGATTGTTCTTGTTTTTAACAGGTGCGATGACTATGTGTGAACAGTATGGCTCCATCGCTGACAAGCTGCCCAATCGTTCTTGCCTAACGACGTATTTGCCTACCGGACGTGGGCCTCAGTTGACCAGGGACGTATGTCGGACGTGGGCTCGGTTGCTCAGGCACATGCGTCGTATGTTGGCCTCGGTTGACCAGTGTCGTGCGTCACACGTGGGCCTCGGTTGACCAGTGACGTGCGTCGTACGTGGGCCTCGGTTTGCCAGTGTCGTGCGTCGTACGTGGACCTCGGTTGCTCGGGGGCATGCGTCGGACGTGGGCCTCGGTTGACTAGTGACGTGCGTCGGACGTGGGTCGGTGTGACCTTGACGTGGCTGCCCCCAGGCCGCGACCACGTGCCAGGCCCGCTGCAAGCAGTTGGAGGCCACCGAGGCCCAGCTAAAGGCGCAGCTGGACGCCTGCGCCCAGCGCTTCGACGACGTCCAGGCTGCGCTGGCCCAGTCCAACACGGCCTTCGATACGTACAAGACCGACATCGACAAGGTGGGACTGTGGGCAATGCATTAGGATATGCTCTCGCTCACTGCTATATCCGCCCAGCTATATACTCCGCGAGGGATTGCCGCTATAGGCGGCGAGGGATTGCCGCTATAGGCGGCGAGGGATTGCCGCTATAGGCGGCGAGGGATTGCCGCTCCTGTTTCGAAGCAGTGGGCATCCCTGTGCATCTATCTGGGTTACTGTTTACCGACCCAGGATAATGCGGGTAGGAGGCTGTGAGACGGTCTGTCCGAGCAGTCCACACCGATCCTCCGTTAATCGGTCGGACATTCGGTGGACCGGCGCCGTGTTCCCTCCGTAGTTTCTGCAGACTCGCCCGGCCCGCTTCAGATTTTAAGTTGCCTGGCCAAGGTCAGTACCACGTGGCGCGTCTTCATCCAGGCACCACAACTAAGCCAGCGCTTCTTCTTTGCCTCCCTGGCCACGAGTGTGTCCTACACCCCGGTTTATCCCGTCAGTCGGTCCCGTACTTCCCTGCTCCCCGTCAAAAGTGGGCCTACGCCCTGGTGTACCCCGTCAGTTGGTCCCCTACCTCCCTGCTCCCCGTCACAAGTTAGGCCTACACCCCGGTGTACCCCGTCAGTCGGTCCCGTACCTCCCTGCTCCCCGCCACCAGTCAGGCCTATACCCCGGTGTATCCCGTCAGTCGGTCCCGTACTTCCGTGCTCCCCGTCACCAGTTAGGCCTACACTCCGGTGTACCCCGTAAGTCAGTCCCACACCTCCCTGCTCCCCATCACCAGAACAACCGGTCGCCATTAAAAATTGTTCCAAGCCCATGGAATGGATGCATAGGTGTAACCCACCCCGCCGTGGATAGTGGGGGAGGGAGGGAGGAAGGGATCAGAAGGCAGGCGCTCTCACCAGCTGAGCCCCTGGGACGGACTATCCGCGTGACGCCAGTCCTGCGCGGGTCCGTCGCCGTCGCTGGTCCGTCCCTCACGGCCGCGCGCCGCCGCCGCAGATGAAGAAGACCACGCGTCGACTGGAGAAGGAGAGCGCCAGCTGGCGACAGCGGTGCGCCGTCAACAGCCAGCAGCTGCTGCAGCTGGCCCAGCAGAAGCAGGCCAGCGACGCCGAGCTGGCATCGCAGCGGCGCCGCCTCGACACGCTGCAGCGGCTCTGCCTCGCCCTGGAGGGCCGGGCGGCCGCCTCAGGTCAGTAGACTGCCGCGCTGGGGTGGCGGCGTGTGCGGTGGCTCAGCGGTGTATGGGCTGTGTGTGATGTGTGCAGCTTGGAGGCAGTTGGGTGTCATATGTTTTCCGACGTAATTCCTCTGGGAAGGAGCGAAAGTTGTTTTAAAAGGAGCTCTGATATTCTCCCGCGAGTGCAGAAAGGCGAAAGTGCGGCCACTAAAGCATTTTGTTCCTCGATTTTTCCCCCGACCTCAATCACTAAGTAAGTCAGATAAATGCTACAACTTTCCACGTAAGCTATTAAGAGGACCTTCTCGTAGACATCATCCAGTGCATTGTTACACCATATTCACATGAAATCCCCGGTCTGCCGTGTCTGTTGTTGAAATATCCGCCCGTCCCCTGCGGTTGTGATTTAGTGGTGATAACAGTGAGGCTGCCGCCCGTTCTCAGTTTGTGCGGTGTGGGCGTCATGCGATGGGGGTTCTCAGTGTGTGCGGTGTGGGCGTCATGCGATGGGGGTTCTCAGTGTGTGCGGTGTGGGCATCATGTGATGAGGGTTCTCAGTGTGTGCGGTGTGGGCGTCATGTGATGGGGATTCTCAGTGTTTGCGGTGTGGGCGTCATGTGATGAGGGTTCTCAGTGTTTGCGGTGTGGGCGTCATGTGATGGGGATTCTCAGTGTGTGCGGTGTGGCCGTCACGTGATGAGGGTTCTCAGTGTTTGCGGTGTGGGCGTCATGTGATGGGGATTCTCAGTGTGTGCGGTGTGGGCGTCATGTGATGGGGATTCTCAGTGTGTGCGGTGTGGGCGTCATGTGATGGGGATTCTCAGTGTGTGCGGTGTGGGGCGTCATGTGATGAGGGTTCTCAGTGTATGCGGTGTGGGCGTCATGCGATGGGGATTCTCATTGTTTGCGGTGTGGGCGTCATGTGATGAGGGTTCTCAGTGTATGCGGTGTGGGCGTCATGTGATGAGGGTTCTCAGTGTTTGCGGTGTGGGCGTCATGTGATTGGGATTCTCAGTGTTTGCGGTGTGGGCGTCATGTGATGAGGGTTCTCAGTGTTTGCGGTGTGGGCATCATGTGATGGGGATTCTCAGTGTGTGCGGTGTCGGCGTCATGTGATGGGGATTCTCAGTGTTTGCGTTGTGGGCGTCATGTGATGAGGGTTCTCAGTGTGTGCGGTGTGGGCGTCATGTGATGAGGGTTCTCAGTGTTTGCGGTGTGGGCGTCATGTGATGAGGGATCTCAGTGTTTGCGGTGTGGGCGTCATGTGATGAGGGTTTTCAGTGTTTGCGGTGTGGGCGTCATGTGATGGGGGATTATCAGTGTTTGCGGTGTGGGCGTCATGTGATGAGGGTTCTCAGTGTTTGCGGTGTGGGCGTCATGTGATGGGGATTCTCAGTGTGTGCGGTGTGGCCGTCATGTGATGAGGGTTCGCAGTGTGTGCGGTGTGGGCGTCATGTGATGAGGGTTCTCAGTGTATGCGGTGTGGGCGTCATGTGGTGACGGTTCTCAGCGTGTGCGGTGTGGCCGTCATGTGATGAAGGTTCTCAGTGTGTGCGGTGTGGGCATCATGTGATGAGGGTTCTCCGTGTGTGCGGTGTGGGGCGTCATGTGATGAGGGTTCTCAGTGTGTGCGGTGTGGGCATCACGTGATGAGGGTTCTCAGCGTGTGCGGTGTGGGCGTCATGTGATGAGGGTTCTCAGTGTATGCGGTGTGGGCGTCATGTAATGTGGATTCTCAGTGTGTGCGGTGTGGCCGTCATGTGATGAGGGTTCTCAGTGTGTGCGGTGTGGGCGTCATGTGATGAGGGTTCTCAGGGTTTGCGGTGTGGGCGTCATGTGATGAGGGTTCTCAGTGTGTGCGGTGTGGGCGTCATGTGATGAGGGTTCTCAGTGTGTGCGGTGTGGCCGTCATGTGATGAGGGTTCTCAGTGTGTGCGGTGTGGGCGACATGTGATGGGGATTCTCAGCGTGTGCGGTGTGGGCGTCATGTGATGAGGGTTCTCAGCGTGTGCGGTGTGGCCGTCATGTTATGAGGGTTCTCAGTGTGTGCGGTGTGGGCATCATGTGATGGGGATTCTCAGTGTGTGCGGTGTGGGCGTCATGTGATGAGGGTTCTCAGTGTGTGCGGTGTGGGCATCACGTGATGAGGGTTCTCAGTGTGTGCGGTGTGGGCGTCATGTGATGAGGGTTCTCAGTGTATGCGGTGTGGGCGTCATGTGATGGGGATTCTCAGTGTGTGCGGTGTGGCCGTCATGTGATGAGGGTTCTCAGTGTGTGCGGTGTGGGCGTCATGTGATGAGGGTTCTCAGTGTGTGTGGTGTGGCCGTCATGTGATGAGGGTTCTCAGTGTGTGTGGTGTGGGCGCCATGTGATGTGTATTCTCAGTGTGTGCGGTGTGGGCGTCATGTGATGAGGGTTCTCAGTGTGTGCGGTGTTGGTGTCATGTGATGTCATGATCATTCTCAGTGTCCCTGCGATGTACGTGTAAGCCGTATTGTGTCTGTGGCCCTCGCGTCAGTATGCATGCGCGCAGTCTGCGATGTGCGCTGTCGGTGTGGTGGCCGTGGCCTGCGGCCCCCAGACTCAGCCGTGTGGTTTGTTTGTGACGGCAGGGCGGCCGCTGCCGGAGGAATTGTGCTCACAGTCCGCCGTCGACTCCGCGGTGGACGACGCCGCCGTCTCGTCGTCCGATCTGGCCGGCGGCGGCGACGCGGCGCAGGCGGCGTCCTCGAGCCACGGGGACACGGCGCCGGCTTCGTCCTCAAGTGGCGGGGATGCGGCGTCAACCCCTTCCTCTAACGGCGGGGACGCGACGTCAGCACCGTCCTCAAACGGCAGGGACGCGGCGTCCACCCCTTCCTCAAACGGCGGGGACGCGGATTCAGCACCGTCCTCAAACGGCGGAGACGCAGCGTCCACCCCTTCCTCAAACGGCGTGGACGCAGCGCTGACCCCTTCCTCAAACGGCGGGAACACAGCGTTAGCACCGTCCTCAAGCGGCGGGGGCTCGGCGTCGACCCCCTCCTCAAACGGCGGGAACACGGCACCACCCCCGACCTCAAACGTCGAGGAGCGGCCGCCGGACCAGCCGTCAAGTGGCGAGGTCGAGCTTCCCCGCCGGCCCGCCGAGACCGAGCCGACCATCCAGTCTCCCGCTGGGGAAGAAGGGCAGCCGGTCCAGCCGTCAAAGGGCGGAGGCAACTCTTCAGCCTGTGAGGAGGAGGTCCAGTCCTCACAAGAGGACGTGGCGCCTGCTGAGAGCTCCGGGACCGCCTCTTCGGCCGCCCTTTGAGGTGCCGTCGGCGGCCGGGCCAGAGCGTAGACTGATCCTGTACAAAGTGTGCTGTGACTGAGGTTTTTACCTACCAGCGTCAGGGCGACGGCGAGACCCACTGCGCCACGCGCCGCAGTTTTGGGTCTGTCGCTTTAACGACTCCCCCGATGGATTGAACCATCCGAGAAATACATTTCTCATTTCTGAACAGTTTATTCGGCCATGCTCTACACAGCGCTAATGACTACACACACTGACGGATGAAAGCACAGCATTTCTCGCACCCATTTGGCATCGAATTAAGCTTACGCTCGCTCACGGGGACAGATGGCATCACTTGCTCGCGCGTCTTTTCTTGCTTGTACCATTAAACAGCAGCGGACCGACGTTCAACATCTGCTCACCGCGCACGGGCCCGGTGAACCAACCACCTGTGGTACGTGGTGCGGTACGGACGCCAGCTTGCGAATGAGCCCGATGTCTGCTCCCAGCCGGCCGTGGGTCCACAATACTCTACACCCCGTGGTGCCGGCTACAACCCGCTGGCTACTCTCGGAGACACCGAGCCTGGTTCCGCGTCAGGCTCCC